AGTCTGTAATAAACTCTAGGAGTCTGTAATAAACTCTAGGAGTCTGTGTAATAAACTCTAGGAGTCTGTAATAAACACTAGAAATCTTTGATAAACATATTATTACTTTGATAAACACTAGGATTTCGTTGTAAGCACTAGTGACCCGTAGGAAACATAAGGTTCTGTAGAAAACACTAGAAATCTGTTGTATCAGCTGTGTAGTCATCTATGGTAAACATGAGAAATTAGTTTTCTGATCGTCTTCCGTAAACTTTTTGTTTGTTTGTTTGTTTGTTTACCCTTGAGTAAATTTCGTTGTTTCAGTGCTTGTTTCTTTCTCGTGTCCCCTCAGTGCACCAAGCCGTGATGCCAAACCCAGCGTCCAGCTACCAGACCGTAGTGGGCGTGCAGCCAACACCTAACCTCGCTCTCACTGGCAACCAGCAAAGCAATATGGCCAGCCAGATGCAAGGCATGATGGTCCAGTACCCGCCAATGCCATCGTATCAGGTACATTGATGATGGTGCGGCAGAGTGTAACCGTGCCAAAATAAAAAACCGACATCATTCAGTGTCTGCAGTCAACACCAGGATTTAGATTATTTATTATATTATTATTATTATTGTTATTATTTATATTTTTGTTATTATTATTATTATTATTTATATTATTGTTATTATTATTATTTATATTATTATTGTTGTTATTTATATTATTATTATTATTATTTATATTATTGTTATTATTGTTATTATTTGTATTATTATTTATATTATTATTGTTGTTATTATTGTTATTATTTGTATTATTATTTATATTATTATTGTTGTTGTTATTATTTGTATTATTATTTATATTATTATTATTATTATTATTTATATTATTATTATTTATGTTATTGTTATTATTGTTATTGTTATTATTGTTGTTATTATTATTATATTGCGTAGCAGAAACCTTGTTTCTCCTGCAGCAGGTTTCTGTCCCGCAGCAAACGTTCCAGCAGCCAGTGTTCATGTCCTGCCAGCCGGGACACGGCCCAGTGGCTGTTTCTGGTGTGCAGCCCTGCTACAGCCTGCTCCCCCCCACCCAGCACACCACCATGAGGTACGTGTCCACCCCCACCCAAACACACTGTAACGACTGTGTTTAGACGAGGGCGGAGCCAGAAGCGTTGTGCCCGCAGACTTTTTGCAGTTTTATCTTTCGGTTGTAAATAGTTGAAAATGATAAAAATGCTTTTCGTGAATTATCACTTGTAGCTTTTAAACGAGATCAAAGGGTTGGCAGAAAGTCTGTTAAAGTACTTTCTGACCATCGTAACTTTGTTTTCTTTTGACTGATTTATTTTTCTCTTGATTAAAAATAAGTTTTGGCTTGATTATTTTGCAGAGTAAGATTAAAATAAAATACTTGGCCTGCAGTACATAAAGAAAAAAATTCTGACACTTTCACGTCTTTCACTCACACAAAATGGTGAATTTAAAAAATATATATATTTGTTCATATGAAATCATTTTGTGAGCCCTTAAACTTGGATTAATTACAAAAGACAATTCAGGCTCGTCACTTCAAATTAGGGATTAAGTCAGATTTGGTCAAAATGAGCCGGCCCATTTTAATCTCCCTTTCCATACCAGGATCGTCCTGATGTCATGAGATCATCCTGATGTCATGAGATCATCCTGATGTCATGAGATCATCCTGATGTCATGAGATCATCCTGATGTCATGAGATCATCCTGATGTCATGAGATCATCTTGATGTCATGAGATCGTCCTGATGTCATGAGATCGTCCTGATGTCATGAGATCGTCCTGATGTCATGAGATCGTCCTGATGTCATGAGATCGTCTTGATGTCATGAGATCGTCTTGATGTCATGAGATCATCCTGATGTCATGAGATCATCTTGATGTCATGAGATCATATTGATGTCATGAGATCATCCTGATGTCATGAGATCATCTTGATGTCATGAGATCGTCCTGATGTCATGAGATCATCTTGATGTCATGAGATCGTCCTGATGTCATGAGATCGTCTTGATGTCATGAGATCGTCCTGATGTCATGAGATCATCTTGATGTCATGAGATCGTCCTGATGTCATGAGATCGTCTTGATGTCATGAGATCGTCCTGATGTCATGAGATCATCCTGATGTCATGAGCGTTTCCAGAGGTTTGTCGGGATAATTCATGAAAATCTTATTATTAGTAAATAACGAGGACTCCTTGGCGTCACACTAGGGCTAGGACAAATATTGTTCACGAGAATACTGGTAAAAAAAAAAAAAGCTTGCCCGGGAATTGAATTATATCGTGATATGCTCATTTCCCCTACCGTTCTACAAGCGGGGCGTGTATGGGGAATTCCCTGCTGGAAAGAAAAATGTCATCGCTAGCTAGCACGCAGAGAAAATAATGTAGTTGTTGCTCAGGAAAGTGCTTCATAATATTATTTAGGGTTGTGTTCCTGACGTTTCATCTGAAGAACCCACAGATGACGTATTCATCAAATGTTAGCTAAATTCTAGCATCGCTAACTTTTTAAACGTTCGCTGCTTTTATCGCTACGAACCACGTTGAGTTGTCGCAGTTAAGACTCACGATTGTTTCCTAAAACTCTTTAAGGCAGCGAAGAAAGTTATTTTTCTGGATTTTGATAATGGTGTCCTGGACAAAGTCGCCGCCTGGTGGCGAGGCGTGAGCGTTGCAGCGTTTTGTTTGTTTCGAGCTAAACGACGGCGCTCAGACGGCACTTTATTTATAAAGACGCATCTAATGATCCTGTTCACGTGTTACGTTGTTTTACAGCGTGAGAAGTTCCTCTCTATGATATGGGGGGGTTGAGGAGGACGGGACAGTCACGTCTGTGTTGCCCGCCCGCTAGCTTAGCGCTACGTAGCTGCCAGTCTTTAATGGCCAGGTTTGGGGTGTGGAAGGGGGGGCTCTGTTTTGTTGATGGGGGGGGCACCCTGTTTGTGTAATGGTCGTGGAAACACTGCAAAGTGGAAACAAAACGTTGACTGGTGTAAAATAACTGGCTGGACTTGGCCTCTCGTTAAACACGAAGCGTGTCGTCCGTTCGGAGCGTCGGTGCACGCAGACCCCTCCCCATCATCAGTGGGAGCCTGCGGGAGAACAAAGACCGGCGAGGTCACTTCCTGTCCCAGCTGTGAGGCGAGCCTGCGTTATTAGCGAGGAGATGATTTATACGCCGGCGTTCCGACGGCTCCATGTTTTCCCACGAGGCGCTCGTCCTGCCCCCCCACCAGCTGGAGGAGAGTCCCTCCAGGCGAGCTGCTCAGAGCCCAGCGCTCCAGATGGACTCGCATTTTACTGTTTCATCCTCAGCCTTGTCGTCTTTCAGTGTGCCGGCTTTTTAATTTATTGGACCCGTGTTCAGGTGGGAGGAGCGGGCGGCGCTCCTGAACCTCATTTTGTTTGTGTTCTTCCGCAGTTCGACCGTAAGCTTCCTGCCCGCCCCGATGATGGAGTTTCCTCCGACCTCCTCTCCCTGCGTCCCCCAGCAGCACCCGGGCCAACAGTACGCAGGTACCTGCACATCCACGGAGATCTAGACCCGGATCACGACGCGAGAGGAGAACAATCTTAGCGTGAGGCACGAGTCGCTGCGAGCGCTCCGTGCTCGTCACGAAACGATCTTCCTCGGGCGACTTCCTCTTTGTTGTAATGAGATTTGAGCTGCGGCGTTTTTTAAATGAAAGCGAGTCCCCGGAGGAGGTGGAGGAGATTGACACGTGCAGCTTTGAAGCTGGACGGAGCCGAAGCGTCGGTTCGATGACCTGCTTCTGCTCGAGTCGAGTAAAAGCCGAAGAGCGTGAAGAGTGCAGAGAAGGTGCTGCAAGAACATCCTCCTGGACCTGCTGCGGCTGTCGCTTCTTTCAGTTCTGTTCATCCCCTTTAACATAAACGGCTTTTATTCAAAATGGCAGTCGAGCTTCCAAGATGAGTTGTTTTAATTTAAAAAGACGTTTCTCTTCCAGCGAAGCCTCAAACCGCTCCGTCCAGTCGTCTTGTATAACTTTTATTTTTTGCATACTTGGTTTGAAAAACGCCGTAAATCACGGGCGTCAAATTTAACTAGAGAAACTGCATCTCCTGCAAAGATTTTTTTTTTTTTTTTTTCATTTAGCCTTTATTTATCCAGGTTAGTCTCATTGAGCCACGAGAACTCATTTTCAAGAGAGACCTGTTTTAGGGAGCACATGGTGGGGGTTAAGGGCCTTGCTCATGGGCCCAGAGTGGGGCGAATGAGGGTGGGGGCAAGTGTGGGTGTTTCACCTACCCCACCCACAATTTTGATGTTGTCGGGGCCGGGGCGTGAACCGGCGATCTTCGGATCACAAGCCCACCTCTCTAACCTCTGCGCCACCACTCCCCCATAAGATACAGTGTGAAAGCTTAATGCTGAAAAACAGCTGAAAGTAGCTAAAAACATGCTGAAATGGAACAACAAGCCTAAGTTAGCAGAAGCAGAAAGAACACTTGTTTGCTAAATTAGCTTTAAATAAGAAATTAGCATAAAAATTAGTAAATTTACTAAAAATGTAAAAAGCTGAAATTGGCAAAAAGTAGCTGAAAAGGCATAAAGAAGCTTAAACTACCAGAAGGAAGCAAAAAAAAGCTGAAATAAGCCCCAAAAATGTGGAATTAGCTGAAAAGATAAAATTAGCATAAAATAGCTAAATAGTAGCTGAAATGGCAGAAAAATCTGAAAGTAGCAGAAATAACAAAAGGAGCATAACAAGCTTAAATTAGCAGAGAAAAGTAAATTAGGTTGAAATGAGCAGAAATTACTACGAAAAACTTGAATTTATCCAAAATCGGCTGAAATGAGCTAAAAAGGTAGCTGCAAGGTTGGAACAAGCTTAAAGTAGCAGAAGAAAGCAGAAAACTCAAAACTTGCTCAGTTGGGCTGAAAGAAGCAGAAATGAGCACAATTTTTTTTTTTACAAAAAGCAACAGCTGAATAGTAGCTAAAGAAGCAGAAAGAAGCTGACATTAGCAGAAGGAAGTGGAGAGAGCACGTTTGCTGAATTAAGCTGAAAAAGTTTAAATAAGTGCAAAAAATGTTGAGTTATCTGAAAAGGCTAAAATTGGCATAAAACAGCAGAGAAACAACTATAACTGCAGGATGGTGTTCCTCAAGGACCAGTGTTGGGAACTCCTGCAATGTCTTGATTTCAGTTGCTTTTTAAGATTTTAAATTTTTTTTTTTGGGGGGGGGGGGGTGATTTTAATCACACTGCCCCCTTGTGGCCAGTTTATGTCGTAGCAAATTGATTAAATCATCAGTGTCCAAAGTGCCAATTCGATTAAAGTTGTCCCAGTTTGAAAAACCATTAAAAACAAAGAATGGATGCCATCTTAATTTTCTTTCATTAAGGACCTGGTTTTGTTCGTGTCTGGTTCTTATGAGATGGAAGGCGTCGTTGTTTCCCGCCTGTCAGTAGTGGAGTCGTCTGAAGGTCGTCTGAAGGTCGTCTGAAGGTCGTCTGAAGCGGCCTCGCCTGCAGTAAACACCATTAACTGGGACCGGGGATAATCCGTACAATTTAATCTAAATAACGGTTGTCCTGGTTACTTTCTTCTGTGGATCAACGCCGGTGTAGGCTGAGCAAAGTTTACTAACACCCCCCCCCCCCCCCCCCCCCGCGTGAACAGAAAGGCTGAAAGGATCCTGGGGTGGGGGGGTTGTTACATGAATAATGAGCTGCTGTGATCACTTTTCTTTTGCGGTATGTGCAGGCTTGTTACCGCCGGCCCCCGGCAGCAGCGTGGTGATGCTGCAGATGGCGGCGCCCCCCTGCCAAAGGAAACAGCCCAGCCACAAACAGCCCGTGCATCAGCGCAGCCGAAGGCCCGCCGAGCTGCCCCCGACCCCAGACAACAGCCAGGTACAAACACACGCGTCCTGACGGCAGCGCTTAATCAGCCCCGGCCCCGGTGAGCAGCCGTTCTCCAAACCATCAGGAAACGGGCGCTCGCTTTAAAAGCTAATTTACTTCGGCTGCGTGAGTCTGACAGCGACTGCTGAATTGTCGCCTTGAGCCAGACTCGGCTTTTTGCGCAGGTTAAATGTCGCCGAAAATAGACTCTGCAAATGAAGCCGCCGAGCTACCGTCCCAAAACGAGGGGGAAACGGTCCTTTTCGTTGGGGCGTAACGCCACATTAGTGCGGCTAATGTGGACGGGACGGCACATTACAGCAGCGCCTCGCGCGGCGCCTCGCGCGGCGCCGTGACGACCTGAAAGTTGCCGTTTGACTCAAAGTGTCTTTTCCTGTCTCCTCCGGCGTGTCGTGTGCAGAGCAGGCTGCCTGCGTCGCCGGCGCTCACCCCCTCGCCCTGCCAGCCGCCCAGCGTCCTCAAGGGCCTCTCGCCCGGCGTCTCGCCCGTCCTGCCGTACCGCCCGCAGCTCCCTACAGCCTTCTGCCACAGCGGACCAGGTCAGAGCCGGCACCGTCCCAGAACCCACGGGCCAGTCGCCACTAACAGACTGGTTTTGTTTGTCGTCCAGTCGCCACTAACGGACTGGTTTTGTTTGTCGTCCAGTCGCCACTAACGGACTGGTTTTGTTTGTCGTCCAGGTGAAGCCCACTACTCTCTCCTGGGCCAGCCGCTGCCGTACAAACCCTCCGTCAGAGCGCCGTTGATCCACGCCGCGCACGTGAAACACCAGGTGGGTGTGGCCCGCGGCGTCCCGAGCCGCCTCCGTGCCCCTCCCATTCTTAACCGCCGTCCTCTGCCTCCACAGGCTCCACTGGGAGTTTGGCGCCACGGCAGAAAGGCCGGCAAGAAACCTCTGTCTCCAGATGTGAGTGTGGGTGAAGCAGGTAACAGGAAGTTGGGGGGGGGGGGGGGCGCTGGTGTACGTGCAGCCGATTTATCAGGTTGAAGCGACACTCTCTTTCGTAGTTACAAGGTTTGTGAACGTACGCAGAAGAACCGACAAACGAGGCAGGAGGCGCACCTGCCGGAGGAGCCGGCGGCCCCCGGGGGGCCCAACCGACTCAAACGTGCTGATTGTTTTAAAAATGTCCGTATTTAATTAATTAATTTCTGTAGCTCTTTACTCAACCACGGTGATGTGACCAAAGTGCTTCACCAAAACCGTCCTTTACATGAGAACAAGTTAAAAACGTTAAAACAAAAAGAACCAGAAAGATCAAAACTTATTTAAGTACTAAAAGCCTGTTGGAATAAAAAGTCTTTGATTTAAAAGGGCCCAGTCCAATAATGAGACGTAGATTATTCCAGAGTGGAGGTGCAGCCACGCGTCCCCAGACTCTAGATTCTGTCCTTGGACCAGAGAGCAGGAGCTTCTGACCTCGGAGACCTGGAGAACTGAACCAGTGTGTTGTTTCAGGAGGAGCGAGGCCAGTCGGAGCATTAAAAACAATAAAAGTTTAAACTCTGTTGTAACACGGACAGGAGCCGAAACAGGTGAGACGTGGTCCCGTCCAGGAGCGGCTGCTGCTCCCTGAACCAGCCGGAGGCGGCTCAGAGACGATGGAGGTCCACGACACGCAGAGCGTCACAACAGTCCAGCCTGGAGCTGATGGAAGCACGAACAGCTTCTCCAAGTCGCAACGGATCCAAAAGCTTTGACCTTTTTTTAAAAGGAGTAAATAACAGAATCCAGACCGGACCACAGAGGTGACGCGTTTGTTAGTGTCTTATCCAAGGTCACCCCAAGGTTATTCACACAGTCACTGAAGGTCAAGTTCAAATGTCCCAGACCAGCTGCATCTGTCGCCAAATAAGATCCATCCAGAGAGAGCACTGGCTTACTGGATCCTGGCCTTCATGGTGAATATATATGTTATTGGATCCTGGCCTTCATGGTGAATAGATCTGTTACTGGATCCTGGCCTTCTTGGTGAATAGATCTGTTACTGGATCCTGGCCTTCATGGTGAATGGATCTGTTACTGGATCCTGGCCTTCATGGTGAATGGATCTGTTACTGGATCCTGGCCTTCATGG